CCCTCCACAGTTTTCCTGTGTATCTGAACTTCCTTTCCTTAAGGACTAAAGTAATATTGGATGAGGGCATACCATAATGACCTCATTTTAACTTAATTATCTCTCCAAAGACCCTGTCTTCAAACATGGTTATATTCTGAGGTCCTCGGGAATGAATTTCTTGCCAATGTGTGGGAGGCACAATTTAGCCACAACACCTACCAGTAGTCCCCAAATACCATACTCTGCCACACTACACAGCCCATGAGTCAGGGCTCTCTGCAACATAGCCTGAGCCTTTTCTGCTCTGGGCCCTCCAAGGTAAGCAGCTTTTTTTCTTACCTGGTAAAACTTCCAGAATGTAAAAACCTACCTCCAAACCTAACACAACGTACCGTGCTTCTTTCTTCATGGTGGGAGGTACAAGATGCAATACTGTACCATGGGAATCACACCTAAGGAAGTAAACTGAGGTGGGCACAGAGAGATGCCCATTGCAGATAGGTGCAGCAATAGTCTCAGGTGAGTTCCTACTCGGAGCAGGGATAAATCAGCCCTTCAGAGTATCCCATGTTTGGCTGAGATGGCCAGGTATTATATGCCATTACTGCAATCCATCACTAAACGTGAGATTTCCCAGAAAAGCCTAAAACCATTTGCTAAGTAAACTCCAAACAAGTTGGGCAGCTGGCCTCTCTCATTGGTGGAGGTCTGGACTGGGGAAACAGGTGCCCACCAATGATAAATGCATTGTATTAGTTAAAAAATATGCTACTGAGGACAGTGAAATTTGGGGGATGCTTGTTAAGGCAGTACTACATAGCCCATCCTGACTATCGCGCCTGATTTCATGGGGAAAGGAGGAAAAGATCTATCAAGTCTCCAGTACGTAAATAAGGAACCTGCTAAGAAGCACAAACAAGGCTTTTTAACCATGTTGACTCAGCAGTCATGCTGAGCACACACAGGTGAGTAGCCTGCGTAAGTAAGGAGACAATCTTTGGTTAGTTTTCACCCAATTCACTGGCTGAGGCCCCAGCCTGCTGACATGGCCACTGAGCTGAACCAGGGAGGCCCAGAATGAGGCACTGAGGTGAGCCATAGGCAGGGATGGGCTGCTTTATGGGTTAAAAATAAATTACATAACAAATTCACCTTCCCATCCACACTAACCACATCTTAAGTGCTCAACAGCCACACGTGGCTATGGTGACCCTACTGGAGAAGACAATGGAACATTTCCATTATCACAGAAAGTTTACTGGACAGCGCTGAAGGACTTCAGATGAACCACTACTGAGAAATCTGGGGAAAAATGCCTATTACAGTTCATATATAAAAGAATTCAATATTCCCATATTTGATAGCAATCCTAATAATTTAAGTTATATAACTAATAATGACTGGTGAACTGAAACTTGTAGACTATAACTTTTTTAAAAAAAACATGCTAGAGGAAGAACTTAAGTATCATTCTTTCTTCAGAAAATAAATATAAAACTGTCACAGAAGAGGTGGCCAGAGAATGCAGGGTACAAAAAAAAAAAAAAAAAAAAGAAAGAAAGAAAGATCATAAAGGTATCAAAATGTTAGTAAAAGCAGTTTTCAGAACTTTGTGAAGAGTGTGCTATGCCAACTTTTCAAATTTTATTTCTTTAAAAATTGTAGGGCTGGAGCTGTGGTTCAAGTGGTAGAGCACCTATCAAGTGTGAGGCCCTAAGTTCAAACCTCAGTACCAAAAAAAACCAGAAAGAGCCCAAAAACTGCCCTACAAATTCTAAATAAATTCGTGCTTTCACAGTTAACGCTGAATTCCTTTTCTTGTGAAGCACTGCTCCCCTACCTCCTAAAAAATAAACAGCTACACAAGTTTCAGATCCTATTAAATTTCATCTGCCTTGATCTTAAAAAGTAATTACAGTTTTTAAGGCAAAGCCACTGACAGCTTCTTCCTTTTTTTTTTAACTACTGAATTAAGTTGGATTAATTCCACATCTTTGATGGGTTAATAATTTTCCTTCAAAATGCACATCCAAACAGAACCTACAAATGTGACCTTATTTGAAAATGTCTTTGCTGATGTAATCAAGTTGATTGAGGTCCTCCTGGATTAGGCTGGGCCCCAAATCTAATAACTGGTATCCTTACACAAGAGAGCGACATCCGCACACAGAGGGAAGAAGGTCACATGGTGATGGAGAATGAGACTGGAGTCATGCATCCATAAGGCCAAGGATGGCCAGCAGCCACTACAAGGTAGAAGAGGCAAGGCAGAACTCTACCCAGAGAATGGGAACCACGGCCCTTCCAACACCTGAATCTTGGACTTCTAAACTGTGAAAGAATAAATTTCTATTGTTTTAGGCTGACAAGTCTATGGAAATTCATTAGTTTTTTTTAAACAACAGCTCAGAAAACTAATTCAATATCCTGTGTACTGTATTTGATCAAATTTCTAGACATTTTACTCTATTATTTAGGTGTGATTATTTATTAAAGAACATTTACAACACTGCAAGTTTTATTTACTCCAAATATCACATTACAATTCCAATTAATTAAAATGAATAGTACAAGAAAACAATGAAGTAAATATTGCAACATTTAAATTTGGCCTCACTTAAACAACAACAAATGCCAAATATTGTTAGCAACATTTTTAACCCTGACTTAAATTTAGGAAACAAAGGTAAGGCAGGTGAACACTTTATATGAATGTGACAACACGTTGCTTATCTCTAAACAAGTAAAATTATGATTTTTAAGTTCTATATTGACTTTTTTGTTCAAATCTGTTCTTCTAATTAAATTGAAATAAAAATGCACATCAAGTTTGAATTGGTAAAATCATTTCACAACTACAAAATTAAGTTGCTAATGACACCATCCTCCATTAGCAGGAAAGAACAACAAATGAACACATAGCTTTCCAACCTATTAACCTTTTTTCAGGGTTCAGTGGAAAACGGTGGTAGGGGAAGTGAGCAGTATGAGAGAGAAGTCAGTCACAGATCTAACTGTACACGGTACATTAGTTGACAAAACTATTAAAGTAAAAACAATGGTAAACAAGGGCCCCAGTGAAACTTTTTAAAAATGATCCTGGAAAAGCAAATGGTAGAGATATTCATGTTGCAAATTCTATCTTCCTCCTTAAGGGTCATATTTGTTGATCTAGCCTCTGTCAACAAACTTCCTCAGTTTTGTCTATTGTTACTTGGGTTCAAGATCTCTACTTGGGGCCTTCCATAATATGAAGGGAACCTCATCTGTCTCTCCCAGTCCTGCCCTGCTCTGATAACTGGACTGCAGGAAAGTGGTTCTGAAGCTCTGCTTCTGCATACATGGTGGTACACCAGCAGGCCCAGGTTAGTCCCTGCTAAAGTGGATTAAATTTGGCCTCAACTATCCTCTGTACTTGGGTAATAAAATCTGACATAGGTAGTCTCTTAGTATGTGGTGAGCTGCAATTTAGCTTGGTGCATAAACCAGATATAATCTAAGTTAGGGGTATAGCTTGGTAACCAAGCAACTGAGGCTTGGCCAATCATGACAGCCAAAGCCCCAACTAATTCTAGGCTCAAGACTGCTAAATCACAGTCATCATAATGATGTTTTAGTCTTGGTCAACAAGGGACCCCTGTGGACTACAATGGACCCATGAGATTACATCATCCAGTGACACTGTAGCTGTGTTAGTTAATGCAAGTACACTCCAGATTGTTCATACTGTGACAGAAATCCCCTAATGAAGCATCTCCCAGACCATACTCCTGTAAGTGTCAAGTGACTACATGCTAAATAAGTTAAATACTGAACTGTACCAATCTGGTAATCTCCGTACATTATTTTCTTTTTCTGATTATAAATACAGCTTACCATGCTGGGGGTGGGTATTCTGAACCATCTCAAGTCCTGCCTAGTTATAGAACCTATTTCTTGCTCAAACTTTTTGTGAAACTTAATTCATATTAGTTTTTTTTTTAACTTTTAACATTTTGGTGTAGATGGTGAGATCCAAAGTAGAGCTTCTCGCACTCCCAGGGGCACTGAGTGACCTAAGAGGGATGTGCTAGGGCCCACTGAGCCCAGTGACTTCCTATGGCAACTAGAGGACACAGGTAGGTAGTTTCCTCCACTCATCTCAAGCTCCACTCTGTATTCTGAGCTCTCTAAGTTTATCTGAATAAGCTTTTTCTTAATTTACTGAATTGGATTTCAGTACGAGACCCTAGCTAGGTATCTGACTAGGTTCTCAGTCAAACTGAGAACTGGGTTCTCAGTCAAACTGGGTTTTCAGTCAAACTGGATTTGACAGTTAACTGGATTGGATCAGTTAAGGGCAAAAGGTAGGTATATTTTTATTTCAAGTTTTTATTTCTGATGATGGGCTTGTCACAATCCACAGCATCTAGGATTCCACCTTCTAGGACTCCAGCTAGGTTCATGTATCAGAATTACGGGAAAATCCCATAATCATGTATCAGGATTTTAGGAAAATAGATCAACTAGAAACAGCTTAGAAAACCAATGGCTGCATTGGGAAGTTTTCATTTGGACAAAATTGTCTATTTGCCATACATATGACAAAAACAATGAACCTCCTTGCCCACCGCCAGCCAGCAGGATGTACTCTGTAGATGGTATGTGGAAGCATCTAAATGACTAAATGAATCAGAAAGATTCTCTGCAGACAGCAAATGAAAAGTTTAAGCAGCGGACTAAAGATACATCAAAAGAGGACTTCACTTTGACCATTCCTTCTCTCCACCTAACTCTGTAAAAAATTTACTGCACAAAATAATGGGTTTCATTATGACATTTCCAAAAATGCATATAATACACTTTGATCTTATTCATGTCCCCATCACCATCCCCCTAGCCCTTCCCCCACAAATAGTCCTCCCTTATGCTCATGTCTTTTTTGTGTGGCCACATATGAGAGAAAACATATAATATCTGTCTTTTTGGTCTGGCTTATTTCACTTAATGGATAGTTTTATTCCATCCATTTTCCTGCAAATGACATAATTTCATTCTTCTTCGTGGCTGAGTAATACTCCACTGTGACTCCATACCACATTTTCTTTATTCATTCTTCTGTTGATTGGCACCTAGTCTCCATCCATCTTTACCTAAATACTGGGTACACTGACCCATTATGCCCAACTGTCTTCCTGCCTTGAGAATGAAAAAGAGGAAGCTGAACACACGCCTTATAAAGTGAGACCTTCTGACCAAATCTGCCTGTCTTAACTGCTTTTACTCCATTGTAAGAGCCTTCCCGAGTCAAAAAAAAAAAATCTGCAAAAATTTACCAAGGACTTTAGATTCTTATAGGAGATTAGAATTCAGGACTTTGTGACCTTTACCAATTTATTTACATGACATGAGACCTAGTAAAGCTTGAGAAGGGATGACAGAAACAAAATGGAAGGAATCGAAAAGAATATTAAAGCTCCTTCCAAAGCCTTTCTGAAGGGCGCAAGGAAAATTGTCACCTACATGTACACCACAGTAACCAAGTAACTGAGTTCAGTCAATTGTAACAGCTGAAACTTCAGCCAACCCCAGGATAAGGCTTCCAATTATGCTCAAATAAGGCAAATATGAGAACTGCACCAACCAGGTAATTCTCTGCATGACCGCTGCTGTTTTTCTGATTATAAATGCAACTTACCAACTTGGGTGTAGGGGGATCATTCTGAGTCATCCTGGGTCTAGATTGCTGCCTGGTTCTAGAACTTATTTCTTGCTGAAATAAACTTGGCTAAATTTAACTCATAGCAAGCCAGGCATGATGGTCAAAACCTGTAATCCTAGCTACTCAGGAGGCAGGGATTAGAAGGATGGCAGTTTCAAGGTTGACAAAGGTAAAAAGGTCACAAGACCCCATCTCAACCATGTTTAGGTGTGGTGGTACATGGCTGTCATCCCAGTTCCTCAGGGAAACATAAACAGGAAGACTGCAGTCCAGGTAGATCCAGGCATAAAGTGAGAACCTATCTCAAAAATAACGAAAGGAAAAAGGGTGGTGACATGGCTCACATGGTAGAGTGCCTGCCTAGCAAGTGTGAGGCTGAGTCCAAACCCCAATAATGCCACACACACACACACATATATGTAATTTTAACTCATACCAGTTTTTTATTTAATATTCTTTTGCAGAGAAAAACCTAGTCATTTGTAGACCATACACCTCTATCCAAACAGGCCAGAATGAGCTTCTAATAACCATATTCTTTTCTCATTCTTGGTGTTTTGACATGTTGGGGTCTCACTGGGAAAGCCTGCCCGTTCCAGGGCTAAATCAATTCTAAGAGATGACAGAGGGCACCCCAGGAGCATGCCTTCCCTCTACAAACTAACCAGTCCAGAGTCCATACTTCCAACTCACCTCATCTATTTGGCTCCTCTATCAGGAGGCAATACGCCTCTGCTCCAATCACCCAGAGTAGGTACCAGACAAGTAAAGAACAGTCAGATAATCTAGAGCTCATAACATAATTCCAAAGATCTAAGCTGTCTCTGTCCAACCCTGACTTTCCTGAAGAAAACAATTAAGGGTCTGGGCTATGCTTTCCCCTCATTCCTGCTTCAGCCTGCTCTATACTGTCCTGCTTAACACACAGTGCCTCTCCTTTGTAGAGGAACTAGAAGAGTAAACTTTTCTTTCAGTGGCATTGAACCCTCTGTGCCATCAGTCACCTTTATAAATTAAGACCCAGGCATAATCTAGGGCTAAAGTCCCCAATATGGCAATTTAATTTCTTTCTTCTTTTGTGCTACTGCAGTATTCTAATATTCAGGCTCCCCTAAAAGCAGAAACACTACTAAAAGGCTATGCTATAGGACTCAGCAGTTGAGAGATGAGAGTCAAAGTGAAGTTAGGTGGTGAGGAGTTGTAAAGGTGCAGAGACTTTCTCCTGGGAGTCAAAAGTCAATGCTCAGAATGCTGGGTCTGTCCCCAGTAGTCAAGAGGTGACAACATTCAGGGTTCAGTTTGCTCCTGTATGGTGGTTTACACACCCATTCAGAACTTACTTCCCTGGGTTGTTAAGGTTGGTGAACCACAGTATCACAACATGCCTTTGAGGTGAGATGGTGCTAAAGAGGAAGAACTCCTATTTGCTACACAAGTTACCAAATGGGAGACAGGGACTTCCTACTCTACCCTACCCCACAGCCATTCTGGGAAGAGCAGGAGCCCATGCTTTCAACCAAAAGGAATCACCCGTGTTTATTTTAATCTCTTTTGCAATATCTCTCTTATTCCTATCTTTCACATTTCTTCTTTCTTATTTGAAACTTAGCATGTAAAATTTAAAGAGTGGTACTTACTTAAGTAATTTATATGACAGAGGAAAAAAAAGAGAAGATGGGTATTTTTTAAAAAGTGACTTAAAATTATTTTTAAAATTCATGTAATACAGCTAGGCTAAGCAATAGAGCATTTTGATTGTAGCACTGCCAGTTTTCAATTAATTTTCTAATAAAATGATAGTATCATGGTTCATCCATAAACTTTAATTGTTCCCTGATAATTCAAAGTCCTGTGGTAAGACTTGATAAATATAATAACTGAGATAAAATATACTATGCCATCTTGATGGGATTTTTTGGGGGGGAGGACGCTAGGAGGTGATTTGAGAGAAAAAAAGATACTTATCATAAAAATGATGTAACAGTATAGTATTTGATAAATTTCTTAAAATTATTGTGATTCATGGATACACCTTAAATTTTTAAATTATTTTCATTTGAAACATTATTTCAGTTCTGAAACTGGGACGTGGGATGGGATATGCTAAAGTGTCTTGGGTTTAGAATGCTGCTTGTCAGGATCTCAGCTGCACTTCAAAGTCATGTACAGGTGGAGAACGGTGAGCCATGCCACTTAAGAGAGTGAATGAAAATCACCTAGCAGAGCACTGTGTATCAAGAAGAAGAGTAACTCCCTTGCACTATTAGTGCTCTTTCTGCTTTTAAATTCTGGTGCAATTAGAACATTTGTGTTAGGAGGCTTTCAGTAAAATTAAACAGGAATGCCCTTGGCTTTGAATGAGAGATCAAATTATTTTCTGAGAAATCCTTAGAAACAACATCTTCCTGACAGAAAAGAAGTGGAAGGAGGTAGAGATAGGGGAGAGAAAGTAGACTGTTGTGCTTTATCTAGATTTGTAACTAGAGTTTGGGTCTCTTTGTTTTTTCAAGTTTGTGAAAAGAGGCTTTCTTCATAACATGATGGTGGAGTACTGTAACCTTGGTTCCTTTCTCTCACCCAGGCACTCAGCATATACTGCTAGACTCCTACTGTGCCAAGAGGGGTGGAGGTTTGATGCTAAACAGAGATGAGGCTGAGACTGAGGAGACTGAGATATACTGAACTCCCTTTGGTATCAAGAACAAAACAAAAAACAGTGGTGTTGCTTTCATCTGCATCATTATTGTTATGCAGGCTTTTCTGTAAGAACATTTAGACTGAGAAGACTCAAAAGAGGCAATAGAACCAGGAAGAAACAACTTAATGGTTCTGATTGTAAGAACTGTGTGTTAGGACACTGAGCAAGTGAGGATGAGAAAGCAAAAACGTCCAAATGTTATAGGAAACTCTGAGCATAGAAACTCCAGGAGGAATTGTTACCACACTGTGATTATTCAGCACTTCTGAACAGAAATAGCAGTAACAACTCTTCATATGTTTTTTTAAGGTACAAAAATCTGTCTGAAAGAAAATGGCCAATATCTATTAATTTTTGTGAGTCACTTCTAGTAAAGGTCTTCTACATGTGAAATGCAGATTGACTTTAAGAGGTCAGATTAGGTTACAGTGCCTATGATAGCTGACTACTACTGTTAGTACATGAATTAGTCAAACTGCCATTGAGCTGGGGGTATGGCTCAAGTGGTAGAACCTCTGCCTAGCAAGCTGTAGACACAGTATCACAAATGGACCTTAAAATACACTCAAGATGTAATCTGAGATGTATAAACGAAGCACTTGAAACACTGGGCTGGCATATCCTTTCAAATTTCCTCTTTATGATTAAGTTTCACAAGTGTAGTCTCTTCTAACTTCCATGATGCAACTGAGTTTTAGCTACTGAAACCTCCAACAATGAAATAAATTAAAAATATGATTATAAGTTCTTTATAATAAGATGCATGATGGATTGGTAATTCATCAACATTCTGTATTATGAAATATATATTTTTCAAACCTGAAAATCACATACCTTGAATGAATAAAGCAAGACTTGTAGCTGTGATGTGCTCATTAGTTCCCATTGTCTTTTAGCGAAGGATGTCCACCTTAGAGACTAAGAAGCCAACTGTGTGCACCAGCTGGCTGGGACAGTGAGAACATCTGAGTATCTCATACATTTATTCCAATCAACCTTACCAGCATGCATTAGAGGATGGAAGCAATACCTAATGTTCTTTAACTGACAATGCCTGGTCTAATAAATGTAAAACATTGTTTCAAAAAACCAAGTAATTTTAGCATGGTGTTGGGGAAACTTTTTGAATATTTACACCTCATACCGCCTCTCCTGGTATGTTCTGGCATATTTCCCTGTAAGAGACAGATTACCATTTCATGGTGTCTTCATATATTAGTGGAGGGACAGTAGACTAAAATTTACTGATGGGACTAATTTCTAATGCAAATCCTGTTTCCTAAGTGTTCAGAATCTACTGAATCAATAAGACAGGGCTCTGCTTTCAATGATTTCTTTGTACTACTTTGGCTATATGTTTCACATCCCAATACATAAAGTTTTAACTTACTTTTGTTCACTGTTTATTCAGTGTGTGTAAATATATAGTCTCAACTTTACTAGACTATTCTCAGAATTTTCTATATCCAAGATATATCTTGTATTTTGACATTCATTTGATTATAACATGCACTTTACAACACCTAGAACTAAAACAGGACAGTAAACACAGCTCTATCTAGTAACTACTACTTCTTGAGTGAGGATTAATTTTGGATCCTGCACTGGACAATGGTTTGATTCTTCAATTTCACAGACAATTTCACAGCAACACACAAAGCCTAGTGCATCTTTGGTTAGCCTGGGTTCTACCAGATCTGTTTCTGAATTAAAATGTGGCTTCCCCTTACTGTCTAGCCACTGACACACACATTTCCCATCGGGCAGATACTGACTAGGACCGGCATTCTCTTTTCTTGTGAAGCCACCTAAGCCACATGTAAACCATCTGGGCTGTCTCATGCTGGCAGTGAACTATATTCCTGAAGCATGTGCTTCAAAGAGATTTTATTTTCTTAGGTGGTTTTCCAACTATGAGCTCCATTTGAACTTCAGGCTAACCTTGTACAGTGTCAGATTCCACCAGGCACTGACTTGTAAATTGTGAATAGGAGTCAGCGCTTGGCAAGTGTCCCATTTTATAAGCTTAGCAACAAGCATTTTACAAAGCACAATAAATGGGATGGATATTTGTCCATGCCTGGCACTCATAGAAGCACAGGGACTTCCAGAAACTTTAACACAGAGAGAAAATCAATTATTTCTCTCCCTGTTATTAGCCAGTTCTTGGCGATTATTCATCTTACGTGTGATGATGACTAATATGCGTCGGATAGCAAGCAGACGCTCTTTCAGGGAAGTCATGCCCAGGATGGCCAGCTGAGCCTTGCGTTCCAATGGCAACACTGCCAGGATCCACCAGGACCAGGCAGGACCACTAGGATTGCTCTGTGAAAGAAACCAAGAGAAAAACACAAGGTGATTAGGTGCTCCCCAACTAATCTTTTGTTTAACCAACAGACATTGAGTGAGAATTAAATGCCATTTTCTATTGTAGGACTATGGTCACAATTCATTCAGCTCTTAAAATGCACAGTTTACTTTTATGCCACACATTCAAAGGTGGGGAAACTCACAAAAGGAAGAGTTTGCCAAAAGAAACATCTTACAGAGAAATTCCATGAATTAGTTGTTTCTATTTTTTTGCATCTCTAGTTAAAAGTAAACTTCAGTCAGAAGAAAAGATCATAATTTTTACCTCCACATTCCAATGTTCTGTGCTATTGTTTTTTAAGTTTTAAGCATATAAAACATAATGTTACAAGGCTTAAAATATGTGTACAAGTTTGAGTGCCAAAGGAAAATTAATCTTATAATAAAGCCAATACGGTAAATATGTGTGTATAAAACATGTACAGACACACATATGTGATGATCACGAATTTATACATACACAGATACCATGAATTTTATATATGCAAATTGTATATTCGCAAAATTACATGTACACATATTTATGTACATACATATGACGGCCTTTGTTTCATACAATTAAACAGATATTTCTGGATTGAGTCCTAAGCAAAAGATAATCATAAACCTGTTCTTGATGTTTATGGTACTGAAGCCAAGACATCCAGACCTCTTTGCTTTCAAAGTCTTGAATTTTCCTCTATTTCTACTCCAAAGGTACCAACTGGATAGATTGCAGAGTGGGTTTCTACTCTGGAAGGGTAGATTCCAGAGTGGGTTTAGCTTGGGAAAGGGTAGATTCCACTGGAAGATTAGGAACAACACTATAGTGAAAGCTTAAAGGAAGCAGCCCAAGTCACTGTCAGGAAGATCCTCACTGCCCTTCAGAAGCGACCACAACACAAGTGTTGGGGGAAATGACCTATAAGAATTCATACTTTCCTTTTCCGTCATCTTGCAGAGTAGGAAAAAAAAAAAAAAAACAAGTAGCATGTTCAATGGGAAGGAACTCAAAAATATTCTCCACATACTACCTAAAGTCCCTCTGTTACTGCAGAACAATATCCCCCAAAATGTCAATACTTAATTTCTAAAACCTGAATATGGTGCCTTAAGTGGCAAAGGGGAACTCAGAAGATATAATTGAGTTAAGGATCTTGAGATGGGGAAATGTAATCACATGGGTCCTTTCCAGGCTGTGTTTGGGGGAGATGTGACAGTGGAAGAATGGTTAGAGATGTAGCACTGCTGGCTTTCATGATGGAGGAAGACAGTCATGTTCTAAGGAGTGCCAGAAGCTGGAAAATGCCAAGGAAACACTCCCCTTCAGCTTCTAGAAAGGAATGCATCTGGCCATCACTTTGATCATAGACAAATCTGTATTGCTTTAAGCTATACAAAGCACTGGTGATAATTTTTTACAGCAGTAACAGAAAGTGAATACATCTACCAATTAAAGATTATTTTGGGATAATAAGGAAAAAGCTCTATGAACAAGAACGATTCATACACCAATGGCAAGTTAGCCTTATCACCTTGCAATCTAAATCTGATTTATGTATAATGTAGAAAGAGGGCTTACAAGAGAGAATGGTCAGGTGAGACATAGAGGCAATTCTGACATTTAAAACACCACTCCTGGGTGTGGAAAACAAATAACTCAGGCAGAAGGAAAAAGACAGAAGCCCTCCAGAGATAAGAAAAGGAGATAAAAATGAATGGGGACAAAGACAAAAGACATTTCATCATACACTAAACCTGCTGAGAGCTGGTCCTACTGCCACCCACCCCCTGCCTCCATACACACTTTCTATAAGGCTGGTGTACAACCATTGTAGGTGGGAGGAACTAAAGACTCTCAGTCACAGTCCTAAACCAGCCCCACCTGGTTCCTTCATTCAAATGCAGAGAAGAGTCACCTGGGCTTAGAAATACTCCACAAACTGAAGTCCATTTTTTGCTTGAAGAAGCACCTTCATCAAAAGCACTTGTACAGAGCACCAGAGAAAGCCCATGAGGACTAGACAGGCACCACAAAGCTTAAGGAAACAAGACTTCCAAGTTAACAAAAATTATGGGGTTTCCTCTTCATTGAGTCCATACCTGTTTGTTAGGTGGAAGGCAATGCTATGTGCAAAGCACAGTGTTCCCACTAATATGATAAAAAACTGCTATTTAAATCTTACACTGTTAATGAGAGAAGAAAAAGCACGACAGGCAGGCAGAATAAAGTAATTTTGTTGGAAATCATCTTCACGTACTAGTAACATAGCTTTTGGATACTTACTTGGGGCTTTAAGGTTCTTACTAAGTGCTTCTTTGGTCTACTAATAAATGGACTTACTCGTAAGTAATCACATGTGCTTTGCTGCCACATTCTCCATCAAAATATGTCTTAGTACATTACGGCAGGAAATAGCAACACTACAAAAGGAAAAAGGAGAAAGTACCTGAGGCTCAGGTTCTCTGTCTGGCATTAACCCAAAATGACTTAAAATTTGTTCTTTCATGTGATCCTGGAGAGATGTAAACCAGGAAACAGACTGTTGATAAACAGAATCATGAAGAGCAGTAAGTTCTTCATACTCTGGACCTTCCACCTGGTCAAGGAAAAAGACACAGCCATTTTTATAATTCATTATGTATGTAGGCCTCCAAACATTTGCTATAGCCAGTGACTTTTGTCATATCTGCTAAGTGGATTTATAGAATTTATTGCTTCAATAATTCACTGCTGTTTCATAAGATGAAATGCTCAAAAGCCATTTTGCATCTTTTTACATAGATAAGCTCTTTCAACAGCATCCTGTTTCTCTCTTAAGACTCTTAACGTAAGCACATATTCCATGTTATGAAGAATTTTTAATGGATGTATGCAATTATATATTCGACATTGAAAAATTTAAGCATTCATACATGATATTTAGAATAGTCCAACTTTTACTTTACAAAATAACACAATATTGTAAATAGTTCTACATTTTTTTTTCTTATGAGAAAGTATTATTTCTTCAGGATAATTTCCTAGAAGTAGAATTACCAAGTCAAAGAGTTTGAAAATTAAAAAACTGGCAAACGCCTGTAATTCCAGCACTCAGCAGGTAGAGGCAGAAGGATTTCGAGTTCAAAGCCAGCAAGGCCCTATTTTAAACAAAAACAAAAAACCAAGGACTGGGGATGTAGTTCAGTGAAAAGGTGCTTACCTAGCACGTGCAAAGTCCTGAGTTTGATACCCAGCATCACACACCAAAAAGCAAAAATAAAAAATAAAAACTGCATTCCACATCACCAAATTGTACTTCAAAAGGCATGCTAGAGCAGCCCTGCATCTGCTGCATTGTCTAGTGCTCAGAGGCAGCACTTGGGATGCGCCATGCTTAGCTTCTGGTACCCATCTTGCTGTCCAGTCAGCCACCTTAGCTCTGCCTCAATCCTACTTAGGGAGCCCTGGGTAGAGCAGGAGCAACAGTGGACTAGAGTTTGGGAGAGGGGGAAACCCAGGTTCATTCTGGCTTCATCACTGACTTTCATGTGTGAATTTTCAGCCAGGCTCCCGCCTCATTAGGATAGGGTTTTCTCATCCATAAAATGGGAATAAACCAGTAAGGCCCTTTCTGGCCAGAAAATTCCAATATCTATGAAAATCATGGCAAATTGAAAATTATATTATAATGCATATAGCCCTTCTGAGTGTGACTTATACAAATCAAAATGTATGTGGTGGAGGATTTTTTTTTTTTCAGTACTGGAGTCTGAACCCAGGGTTTCATGCTATAACCCTTTAGCTATGCTTCCAGTCCTTTTGTTTTGAGACAGGGTCTCACTAATGTTGCATGAGCTAGCCTAGAACTGGAAATCGATCCTCTTGCTTTTCACTCTTCTTGTTTTCACCTTTTGAGTAGCTGTGATTACAGGTATGTATCACCATGCCTGGCTAGGGTTTTCTTTCTAAAAATCTAAAAGTATATCAAGTTGTGGTCATATAAGCCCCTTATTGTAAAATAAACGCATACACCATTAAAAGCTGTCATCCACAACAACATCAATAAGCCCTCTCATCAAGTTTGCTATCAATCCACCAGAGAGAGCCTGAGAACTGTTGTTTAAATCTAGCACCCTGATTCATAGTTCTTGGAGTTTGCTTCCTGCTCTGCTCTTCTGTCTTGAAGGCTCTGTGCTCTCACAGACTGAAGAGACCAGGAACAGCAGCAGAGGAGGGAGACAGCCCATGCTCCCAGTGTGACTCTACTTACATGAAAAAGTCACTGTCTCCCATGTGACTTCTAGTGTGACACAGGAGGTTATACACTCTCACTTCCACATTGCCAAATGGCCACCAAAGAATTTAAGTGTGATGTAATAATTCCAAGTATTTTCACATCCTAATTCTTTTTGTTGTTTTGGTGATAGTATAGTTTACATGACAAAAGAAATGCATAGGTCTCATTTGGTTAAGGAATTTTGTTAACTATACACATCAGTCTAACCATCACCCTAAAAAAGTCAAGAGAACATTTCCATCACCCAGAAAGATTCTTCTGTCCCTTGTTCAGTCAGTTACAAAGCCCATCCTACATTTTCTCACTTCTATTGCCAGGCACTAGTTTTGTCTGTGCCCTGTGTGTATTAAATATGCAGTATGTACTTCTCATGTGCTTGGCTTCTCTCACTTAGCCTAGTATCTATGAGATTTATCCATGCTGTTTTACGCACCATTTCACTTCGTTCTATTGCTGAGCAGTATTCCATTGTACAAATGTACCAGAATTCCCTTATCCATCTACTGCATCCAGGCTGTTTCTAGCTTTTGGCTTTTGATAAGACTACTATAGACATCTTTGTGCAAGTCTTCTTGGGAAACTCTTCAAAACATTTTATTAATTTGTCTTATGTGTCCCAGTATTACTATTTAGACACTAACTCTTTTTATTTATTTATTTTTCAGTGTACTAGAGTTTGAACTCAGGGCATCATGCTTGCTAGGTAAGCATTCTACCACTCGAGCCACTCCACCAGCCCTACACACTCATTCTTAAGAGGTAAGAGACTCAAGGCTTTCCTATTTAGCTCTGGGCAGTATTTATAAGCACTATTGTTTTATACTATGTCTCATTCTGGAAGAGGGATTAACAAAGACTTCTTGTGAGTCAAGTCCTGTTCACTACCATGCTTTTGCAAAAAAACATTTTATGGGAAATCGGTCACATGCACTCCTTTACATACGAATGGCCTATTGCTGCTTTTGCACTCTAAGGGAGGGTAAAGCTGAGTATTGCAACAGAAACTGTAAGGCCTGTCTAAGGTCACCCTCAGTATTCATGGGGCACTGGTTCCAGGCACCCTACAGATATCAAAATCTATATAAAATGGTGTATAGCACTTGCATATAACCTATGCACAGCCTCCATGTACTTTGAATAACTAATAGAATGCTACATAATAGTTGTTATACTATATTGTTTTGTGTGTGTGATCTTTTTTTTTTTAAGGTTTGATCTCGGGGCCTTGTGCTTGCTAAGCAGGCATTCTACCACTTGAGCCACTCCCCCAGACCACTTTAGTTATTTTTGACACACAGTCTTGCATCTATGCCCCAACTGACCTGGACCATGACCCTCCTATGTTTCCTGTACAGTTGGGATCACAGATGTGCACAACCATACCTGGCTTATTAGCTGAGATAGGGTACTGCTATTTTTTTTGACCTGGGCTGGCCTTGAGCCTTCCTCCCGCTTTCCACCTCCCAAGTGGCTGGGATTATAGACCTGAGCCACCACACCTGGCATTGTGTGTTTGAGACAGTGTCTTGCTATGTTTCCCAGGCTGGTCTTAAACATGTGGGCTCAAGCAATCCTCCTGGTTCTGATTCTCAAGTAGTGGAGACTAGAGATGTGTTCCGGGCCCACCTATACAGTGTTGTTTAGGGAAAAATGACAAAGAAAGCATGGGTGTACGTGTTTAGTAGAGACATAACTTTATTTTTGTAATGTTTTCAATTCACAGTTCACTGACTCACAGATAGAAGGTCAAGTGTGTTTATCTGGCCTTTACAGGAATAGTTTGCCAGTCTCCAGGCTAGACTAGCAAACAAGGAATCACAAGCCCATTTTGCAATTGGCAGGTTTACATGTTCCCTAAGGGCAAAAGATCTTATTTTTTTATTGGAGGAGATTTCTCTACCAGCTCCAACTTAAGCAAAAATCCACTAAGAGAGTAAATAGGCTGAGTGCTAGATTAAGAAAAAAGTAAATAATCTTGTTAATAAAAAGCCAACAAAGTTTTTCCATGATGCAGATGGAAACAATGTAACTGACCTCTATAAAATACACCAATAAAATGGCCTTACCTTTTCATCTTCCAGATACTCAATGTCCGCTGTGTTATAGCCATCTCTGTGACGGTGGCTTAGTACTCTGAACCGACTAATTCCGATGGCATCCACAACTGAACTTCCATCAGGAAAAGTTCTAACATCCTTAATCTCCAGCATGCAGCCATACTCTGAAATCCTGAAAGGACAGTGGGAGAAATAGGCATGACTTTTTAAATGCAGGAGGCCTTTATTTTTCCCTAAATGAAAGTTTGCAATTTAAAAGGAATACAGAACCAGACTAAACAAAAGGTGTCTTCATGGCAAGGTTATTATCTCTAAGAGATCACTGCAATGATTCCTTCTGTTGAATGGAGATGGTTGCAGTATATGGGATAGGACCTGGGGCCCAGCAACTCAAACTCAGTTCTCTGAGTGACCTGAGAGATGGGAACAGACAGAATCCTAAATGTGGCAATGCAGCCCTATGGTCAGTACAAGGCCCATCAGGCCCAGCACTGCCACACTCTGCTGCCTTCCGCTCTGCTCCAGGCCCACAGTGTTCATCTCACTGCACTGATGCTGGCCCACTACACCCCCACTCCCACAGAAAGCAGTCTTCATCAGAATCTCCCTTTCACTCCTTCATACTCCATGGTGCATAGGTGACTCCAACAGAGGTCACAGATACCCTCCACATTGCTATAATCAGTAGGTGTCTTCATGTTTGGCCTAGCTACAGCATGAGTGCTGACCTCCACTGCTTTTTTTCTTCCACTCTGACCAGTCTGATCCTACCAGACTAGGCCATCCAGGATAGCATCTTTAGCTACATCTATTCTCACCCCAAAGCTCTCCTGGACTCTCACCCACACTCCTTATTGTGGCTATCATCTGTGTCCTAGTGAGACTCATTCTGCTTAACGCCACATACAGAGCACTGCACAAAGCAGTTTGTAACATGGACTCACCCAAGCCTCCCAAAAACTTGGAGGCTAGGAGAAATTAAACAACTTATTTGAGGTCACAATAAGATTTAGAGTCAAGATTTGAACCTTAGGTTGTCTGCTTTTAAGTTCTTATGGTGAAAAACTTTACTGTACATTTCCAAAACCAAAGATGAGTGCTGGTTCCTAAGTTATAAGCCTATATATCCAAGAACCTGCTGGTCATGTCTACTTGGATATCTAATAAAACCCTCTCTGGCAGGGCATGGTAACTCATGCCTGTAATCCTACCTACTGGAGAGGCAGAGATTGGGAGTATTGTGGTTTGATGCCAGCTTGGTCAACAAGTTAGTGAGATTTCATCACAATCAAATTGGACATGGTGGAATATTCCTGTCATTCCAGCTCTGCAGAAGGCATAAATAGGACCACAGTCCAGGATAGCTGAGCAAAAGTGCAACACCCAATCCAAAAAAATAACTAAAGCAAAAAGGGCTGGGGGCATGGTTCAAGTACTATTGTGCCTGCCTAGCAAGCTTAAGGCCCTGAGTTCAAAAGCCAGTACCTCCCCCATGTCTGCCTCAGCTGCAGAGCTTGTGCCATCCAGGAACATTTTTTCTTATCTGCATACAAGAACTTGGGAGTGGTACAAATTCCCCTTGTGTCTTTAGCTCCCAGGTAGTGCATATTTTCATGTTAATCCACACAAAGGACATCAAAATTGTTTTTAAAAAATTAGCTGAAGGACTGGAAGTGTGGCTCAAGTGCTAGAGCACCTGCCTGGCAAGTGCAAGACCTTGAGTTCAAACTCCAGTATTTCCAAAAAAAGAGGAAGGGATGGATGGAGGGATGGAGGAAGGTAGAGAGAAAGGAAGGAAAGACGGAAGGATGTAGGGATTAGCTGAATGCTTCCCACATACTTGTATACATGTCTCCACCTCCTAACTATTCTTTCCCTAGGGGAACCTGTCTTCTAGAGCTACCCTGAGTAACCTCTACTCTCTGATGGGTACAAGAAGCATTATGTGCTGTAGTTTACCTGGGCTTTGCTTGTTGTTTGGTGGGAATAACATTCTTTTCAGTGTTCTATATTCTCGATGAAATTCTTATAGCTTGTTTTTCACTTTGTTTTTGTTGACTTTTGATGAATCAAATACAAACATATATGAATTTATTAATCTCTGCTTCTTATTCATCAGTATCTTATACAAAACCTTTTTCTGCCCAGGCACAGTGGCTCACACCGGTAATCCCAGCTACAAGGGAAGTGGAAGTTTAGAGGATTGTGGTTGGAGGGCAACCTAGGCAAAAAGTTAGTAAGACCCATCTCAAAAAAACAAGCTGTGTGTGGTGACACATACCTGTCATCTCAGCTATGCAGGAGGCCCTAGGCAGGAGGTCTGTGGGCCAACGCCAAACCCTAGGCAAAAACTGAGACCCTATCTGAAAAATAATCTGAAGTAAGAAGGCTGGAGTTGTGAAATCAAGTGGTAGAGCCCTTGCCTAGCAAGTGCAAGGCCCTGAATTTAAACCCCAGTACCTCAAAAACAACAACAAAAGCCATCCAAAACTTTCCCTATTCATATATATCTGAATAGGGAATATATATATATATATATATATATATATATATATATGAACATATATATATAGGAACGCACGCACACACACACACACACACACATATGTGGACTGTCTTTACTATATATATAGTGTAACATAGAGAAGAAATATTTTTTGTTGCCCTGATTAGACTACACATTAGTCACTAGTTTTCTGGGTACCTTTTACTGAACAGAACATCTTTTTCACAAAAGTATGTATAAATTTGGAGTCCATATATGAGCCAATCTGTTTCACTGATCTACTTTTTAATGGCTTATAATTTTGATTGTATAGGAATGTCCTTCCATCTGCTCAACTAGTTTATCCAAACCTATCTGGTCTTGGTGCTTTGCTTTGCCATAATGATTCTAAAATCAGCTTGGTAAATCCATGGGACAAAAAAGAAAAAAAAACCTTCTTGAATTGCTGGATTATAGACTAATTTGTGTAGAGATGGTCTTTCTATGACATTGAGTCTTTGCATCCCTGAACATGGTTTTTCTCTACATTTATTTAGAGCTTCCTGAATATCTTTCAACACAGTTTTTGAATTTTCTTCATAAATGTCCTATACATTACTTTTTTCATATCTCAAAAAAAATGCAGAAACCACTGGGTAGCCCTAAAAGTCCATTCTTCCTTTCTTTCCTGGGCACACAGGTGGACTACATTTCCCAGCCTCCCTCACAATAGGTGTTGAGCATTAAGTGAGGTAGTCCCTTTCTCCAGAGTCCTTTAAAAGTACATATGCCTCTTTCACTAGCACTTGGATGTGGTGATCTCATCATGACTACAGAGCTGACAAAGCCCTTAGGAATAAGAAGGGATCTGAGTCTCCAACTCATCCTATAGAGAGGAGCTGCCCACTCTTCTATCACTGTCCCTAGACAACTGACATGAAATGGCAAGAGGAAAAACTAAGAGCTAAAGGTTCTTGAAAGACTGAAAATTGTATGGTGTGAAGACAGAGAGAAGCTTCATTGGATGTAGCCATTTTTCTAACTCTAAAAGCTGAACCAGATTTGCTTGGGCTAGAAGAGATTCAGAGAGAAGCATGGAGGGATGGAAGCATGAGATATAGTCAGAGGAGGGTAAGTAACATGGTAGTGGACTACAAGTGTGATGGCTGGAAGGAAGCAACATGAATGAGGCTAGAAAGGATGGGATTACATCATGGATAGCTTTGAACTTGTGGTGTAATGGGAACCACAAGAGATTTTTGGGCATCATCCTAAATTGTTCTTCAATAAAAAAACAAAGTATACACTTAATTAAGGCCCTTGTAATTCTGGTAATCCTTACCCAGCATGCTCAGCAGATAAACACATGCCAAATCGCTTGGTGCCAGTTTCCATGCATCTTCTTATCATGAGCCGATACCGAGGCTCAAAGACGTGGAGTGGACAGGGAACAGTGGGAAAGGCCATGGCACACACAAAGATGGGCACATCTCTGGTCAGACTGCAGAGTAAGGGGAAACGTTAACTTAGATGTGTGAACCTTTAGAAACAGAAGGAAGGAGTAGCCACCTGAACAGCAAAAACCAGCTAACCTCAATTCTTGCATTTACTGACAGAACCTTCAGGCCTGCCTCTGTACTAGGCAGAAAGGAAAGCCAAGGACCTTGCATGAGAAAAATTTCTGCCAAATCTGTCTTAATTTAATTTGATGAGGGAAAACATGCTGTTTCATGTTATTGTACTTAGAAAAGTTATAGCTTTTGACTACTCTAAAAAAAATTCTGATCAAAGCAAAAATTACCCATAGGCAATGAGTTTTAAATAGAGTAGAAGATCTAGACTAAAACACAAGACTTGAACCATTTAAAAAGATGAAAAACTGTCAAGTCCGTGGTGAGTCATAATCCTTGACACTGCTTCTTGTTCTATATACTTTACCTTTCCAATTCTGAAAAAAAGTAACATTTACATACAAAAAGCAAAAACATAATATTGTTAAAATATACTTTGAAAATATTTCCTATAATTACTTACAATTATATATCCATAAATATCTTCAGTTAACTTTTTTTTCCATTTACAGACCAAAAAATTAGCACGAAAAAACATAATCTGTGGTAAAGCTGAGGTTAACAAGAATTTTCTTCATTAATCTGAACTTAGCACCAAGTATATATAACATGAGGACTTACTTTGATAGTTCCGACATCTCTTCATCATAAATCCTCTTCCTATCAGACAGCTCATCTGGCAAATACTGAAATATTAATTCTTCAGCCAGAATAGTTATATTAAAATTTCTGGTTGCCAACAACTGTAACAAACAAGTGTTAAATGATACCATGTGATAATTAATCCTAAATTAGCACTAACTCAGGTTTGGGCATTTTGTTTTGTAAATGAGAGAATTGGGGTTGGCTAGCTTTGGCTGCTTTGGTGACTATTCTCCCTGGAAATACAGTAAAAACAAGAGACAAAAGTCTTAGATTTTAGTCAACCTTCAAATTTTACTTCTTTACACAGTCCCCTATCAGGCAGCTTTGAACATGGAAGAAAATAAAAAGTCTGTGTTGTGATGGTCATAATGGTGATTTTACTCTCATGAGACTAAGAGCCATCTCTAGGTTCCTTGATCCTGGTAAGCATGGGTGTAACACAATTGCTCTGCAGACACCTCTGTTAGCAAGAAGAGGCAGCAACACCAAGGGGGAACTGAAAAAGGACCCCAAGGAAACTGCTGTGTAGACTGAGGAGGTAATCTACAACCATGACACATGGTGCACATACCATAGCTGATATCCATGAGAACCCTGAAAAAACTTTGAAAGATGCAATATGTATGCAAGTTAACAAAGCAAGTCTGTATGTGTGCTTTAGGAAGGCTTTAATTGTGACTTTTTTTTTTTTTAGAGGTACTGGGGTTTTGCTCTCAAAGCCTGATAAGCACTCTACCATTTGAGTCAAAACCTCCACTCTGTAACAACTTATTTTTAACAAGTTTGGCTATAAATTACAAGTTGAAATTATTTAAAAATTTGCTTAAGTATAATACTTCGTCTTACCATGTCAGGTTAAAAAAAAATTAATTTTAAGACCATGAGTGTATCTCAAAGACAGTGTGCTTAGTATGCACATGGCACTGGGGTCAATTTCTAGCACTACAATTTTTACTGCTATAGTTGCTTTAAAAGCAAACTTTATCCTACTAAAGAATAAGTACAATGAATTTAAAAGGAAATACACTCAAGTATTATGAGTCTCATTTTATGCATAAAAAATGAAAGAAGTCTACTACTCACAATAAGAGATTAAATAATTTGCCCATGTAAAGTAAGTGACATCACAGGACCACTGTGATGGTATGTACTCAGTAGCACCAAGTACATACTGCTACAGACTCACTACTTGGAAAATTGGTCAGAAGGCCTTTGTTTTTTAAATATTGTTCATTTTTTCTCCATACTTAGTACAAATGGATTTAATAGTTTATATTTGGGCTGAATATCATTAAATAGCTTCCCTCTCCTCCTGTGGGCCCTAAGTTTTGTTGATTTTGATCTCAGATCAAAGACAGTAACTGACAGTGGGAAGGGAAATAACTAGGCTCAGCCGCAGTTAAGAATGACCAGGTCTCCAATCTTATGTGAAATTCTTGAGAGGAGGGACACGAAGTGTGTCACAATGTATCTCCACTATTTATAATGAATATATTGGGAGGACTTGGTGATGTTAGCTATTTTCAATCTACTTCAACTATAATTTTGGGACATGAAATCATATCTACCAAAGGCTGAGAAGGGGAGTCTCCTTGTCATCTCACAAAGCATACTCACTTCGGAAAGCTTGTCTTTGCACAGTGGACAATGAGGGGCGTGGTCAAGGCAGCGCTCAAGGCATTTTAGGCAAAACATATGTCCACAGGGTGTAGTAACAGGTTCAAAGAGCAACCTAGAAAGAAAAATGCTTGTTTTCAGCAAGGTATGTCCAGAAGAGACTTTCAGATAATCCCTCTGCTTTGGAAGGATGCCTTATGCACGTCGCTTACTATTCTGGAAACCACTTACATGCATTTCCCTTTTTATCTTCATCATCCAACTTTTAGAAAATAATAATTAAAATCAATTAATCACTCAGGCATATGCCTAGCCCATTTAGGTGTATGACTCAGAAAAGCTAAAATTTTTACAGCGCTGCAGGGATTCCATACGATCTTACCTCATGCAAAGGGCACACTCAAAGTCAGTTGCGTCTATCAAGAGCTCCTCCGAATCTTCTCCTATCTTAGAGTTCATGTTTCTTTGAGGTGAAGAATCTGCATCTGAAAAATGTTAAAATGTTATATTTAACAGCTGAATAGAGTATGCAATGAATGTATTTCCTTTAAATACAATGTATCACACCAGTGTAACAAATCTTCTTGGGCAGGAATGTTTTCTACCTAGTTAATACATAGCAACAATTTATGTGAACACTAAACATGAACAAAAGAGAAAATTGTACCTAAATTTTCTTTTTTTGACTATGAAGTCTCTGCAATACTAGCCATTTCAAATACCTAAAGCTGAGATGCTCATTTCATTAGTAATTTTGCTTGTGTAAAAAAATTTTTAAATATATTAAATACCGGCTAATGTTCTATTGTTTTGGATCACACAACACCATCATCATGACAAAATAGCTCACTGACCTTTCTTAGGAATTTTTCCAGGGGTGTTCAGGTCTTGTGCATCCTCCATATCATTTGGGAGCTGTCTCTTTAAACTAGAGCTGGGCGCTACCGGGATGACATGTTCTAGTGCTTTTTTATCCTCTTCGAAGTGTAGACCCAGTATAAAATATAAAACTGAAGAATTGGCACTTCTAAATACATCAGATTTCTCAGATGGATTCTGATTAAGCAAGAAAAAAAGAATCCTAAATATTCAAGAAATCATAGCATATAAGAAACAAAAATCATGTAGAAGCCAGTCTTAGAAATTTCTGGTAAAAAGGAAAGCTTATACTCTTCCTTTATGAGCAGTTTCTTCTATCAACTAATAAGATGCACTTTATACTTTTCAGGGTAAATCATGGAATAATTTCTTTCTGAGAAAGAGTAACATTATCATACCTATAATATACACATAAACTGTTAAGTATATCATATATTCAAATCATCTCTCTATTTTCTTTTCTCCAAGCCAATAATTTCAGGTCTTACACATGTGTTGGGTTGTTTGGAGGTTTTCCAAAACTTCTTCCTTTCAATTTTTAATCTGTTTCACTAGCGCCACTGACTTCATTCAAAAGTTTCAACTGCTCTTGAGAAACAATTCTAGCCAATATAACACCAAATGTCTGAGTAATGTGTAAGATGCTTAATATAAGCCAGTTCCTTGAAACTTAATCAAGGTGCTGCTGACAGACATGTGCGCTTCATACCTCAGAGCTGCCTGTGCTGCCATCTTCTTCCACAGGAGACTGGGCATTTGTTTGGCTGTCACACTGAGCCTTTAATCTGCTTTGGGTGGAAGATGCCAAATTTTGATTCATACTTTCTGAAGCTGGAAAAAACACCTCACACAATACCTGCAAAATTGTCAAGAAGAGAAAATATATTTTAAAATACTTTTGGGAAAAAAATCTGTAACACATTTTTAGACATTCAGAAAAAAAGGAAGACCAAATAGGCGATTAGAGGTGCTAAGTAAAGACCAGGTAACTATTGTATAGGCTTTTTAAAAATAGGATAGATTCCTACATTGAGTGAGACTCAGTGATGAGTTAAAGAGCAGGTATTTCTACATTATTCTGGTGAAGATTTGCTGAAAATTACAGGCAAAACTATATTGCTAAATTGATGTATTTTACAAATATTAAAATGTCTTTTATAAGGTTCTACACAAACCAGAGTACTTGAAATTGCAAATTCTTATGGGGGTGCCAGAGGGAAATCTTGCTTCCCCAGCCTCACATAGCAACCTTGTCTCAACTTGTATGTGTCATTATTTCACCCAAATTGAGCTGGGTACATGCTATCTCATCAAACATTCTGCTGTATCTGTGGACAAAAAGGCAGCATCTAATTAGGTGTTGAATGAGTGAACCTTAACATTACTGTGTATTTGTAATCACATTGTCATGAACATTCAGAATTACATTTTTTGTTTATTTTACAAGCAAGAGTTACCCAGCACAGACACAAAGACTATATTAGGAGAAAGCTGTTTATCAGAAGTTTTACCTTCTGTGTTTCTTTCTTCGCTGAGTTACATTCAGGATTTAAAGCAAGGCAGTAGATAAATTCCTTTAATACTTCTTTACTTCTTCCCAATCCAGAAAGAGCTTGAGCTTTTAGGTGATGTCCCTGTATTTACCCAAAGACAAAGCATTTACTTTAAAATGCAGCATAATTATATATACTTGAATATAAACAGCCTTGGAAAAAATTGTCATAACTATTTAACTTCATAGTAAACAAAATAAACAAAACCCATCAAGAATGGCTATGTATCTCCCTGCCTTGGAAATGTGGCAAATTTCAATGTCTCATAGATACAATCTACAATCAGAACAGAGGAGTCACCATAGCTGAACTGCTTTGAGCAGTTCTGAGGGACATATTAGGGAAGGACTGGCATCTGTCAGCTGTATTTTCATTATGTTTATTTTGACTGGCATATTTGTATATATTTATGAAACTCATATGAATCATAAAAGATGTTGAGTAGCCAAATCAGTCTTCATCAAAATGAATAAAGCAGGAGGCACCATACTACCTGACACTAAAAGATGTTACACAAAGCTATGGTAACTGAAACGGCATGGTATTGGCATAGAAACAGATACACAGACTGACAGAACAGAACAGAAGGCCCAGAAATAACCCAATGCATTTACAATCAACTAATTTCTAACAAAGGAGCAAGAACACACAATGGGGAAAGGATAGTCTCTTCAATAATTAGTGGTGGGGAATCTGGATATTCATATGCAGAAGAAAGAAACTAGACCCCCTATCTCTTGCCAGTTACAAACAATAAATTAAAATAGATTAAAGGCTTAAATGTAAGACTGGAAACTATGAAACTATTAGAAGAAAAGCTTTAGGACATTGGCCTGAGCAGAGATTTTTTAGGTATGACCCCAAAAAGCACAGGCAACAAAAGCAAAAACTGATAAACAGGACTATATCAAACTACAAAGTTTCTGCACAACAAAAGAAACACTCAAAAGAGCAAAGAAATAGTTTACGGAATGTGAGAAAATGCTTGCAAACTATACATCTAATAAGGAGTTAATACCTAGCATTTATAAGTAACTCAACTCAATAGAAAAAATCTCTCCCAAATAGTCCAATTAAAAATGGCTAAAGGTGTGAAGAGACATTTCTCAAAAGACATATAAATGGCCAAAAGCTATATGAAAGAAGAGTTCAATTATCACTAACCATTGGGGAAATGCAAATCCATGCCAAATTTAAATTTATCCAGTAATTACAGGTCACTATTACAATCCTGCCTTCAAGAAATGTAGTCTCCTGAGAGTACAGACACGACTAGAAAGAACTATAATGCAAAGCATAATAAAGACAATAGAAATGCAAAAATGTAATATGAATCAGTGATTGCCAAGAGCATTTTGCTTTTGTTTTATGGAAATAATATTCTCTCAAATCTTTGGAAATGCTATTTTGGGCAGATTTCTTTTCATTGGTTCCTGAGTTATATTTCCATGAGGACTAGTTGTTAACTGACATCTATTTTAGTTTCTCTTCTGTGACACTGAATTTTTTCCTGTGACCCGTGGTTCTCTGTACATACTGGAGTAAAATGGACTCCTTCCAACTGGGTTCTTTGCCATTGGGTTGGATAGACCTTTTCCCTCACATATCTCACTGCTGAAAGGAAGACTGAATGTGTCACCTACATGAGTGAGATGTCACTGAGAGGTTTCATTTTTCAGGGGAATGGGAATCCAGGATACACCTGGAGCCACAAATTCCAGGATTTAGGGGGTTTCCTTTTGGGGACCCTCTACATTCATTAGCAGTCATGCTTTCCCCAGGTAGTCTGTTCACATTCTTTGGAGGTACCCCTGTGATTTTTTCCCTACTACAACTGTGCATGGCAGAATGCACTGGCATGGTGAAGCAAGCCTCGGTTGGGTCTTATTCCTGTCCTTAGAGCTCAGGTCCTCTTTGGAGTTTTTATCATCTGAATGTAATATCCTCTGCTCTTTCAGCCATACATCTGCATTCTGAACTCCAAAAAGATTTGCTCAACTCTCTAATCCCATATTATAGACTAATTCTTGTTTTAATTTTCTTTTTGAGGTAGGGTCTCACTAACTTTGCCCTGGCTGGCCTCAAACTAGAATTTCTCCTGTTTTGGCCTCCTGAGTATCTGGGATTACAAGTGTGTACCACCATGTCCAACTAAGAAAGTATTATTTTAGAGGGAACAACTTTACCTTGTTTCATAAATATATACAAATATGCCAGTCAATATAAACTTAATGAAAATACAGCTGACAGATGAAAATACCAGAGATCTGAAAACAAAAAAGCTCAGGGGTATTGCTCAAGCGGTAGAGCACTCACCTAGCAATCTTGAGACCCTGAGTTCAATCTCCAGTGCAAAATAATAACAGCAATAATAAAATAAAAATAAAATATTCCTTTTAAGTCTCCAGTAGCACTCTTAGATATTAGTAAGATCGGCTCATCTTTGCAAGCTATATTTTTATAGCGTTGTAGGTCTATCTGCATCTTTTCAGTTATAGAGAAGTTGGCTCTTGCTTTAGTAGGCAGTCTGACCTTTCCTCTTCCCACTTTCAGTATGCTGCTCCAATGTCAACTGGCTTCCATGATTTCAGGTGAGATGTCAACCATTAAACTTGTTCTTTCCCTGTGTGTCATTTTTCTCATTTCATTGTTGCATTCAAGACTTTATCTTTAGTTTGAGGCACAGAAGTTTGATTATGATTTCAGTTTATCTTGTCTGGGATTCTTATTCATCTTCTTTGACCTGAAACTAACATTACCCACTATTATTTCAGCTTTTTCCCCCTCTATCATCCTAAAGATATTTCATTATGTATATGTAAATATCCCAAAATGCAAAAATATCCAAATCTGGAGCACTTTTGCTCCCAAGCATTTTGGACAAGGGGTGTTCAACCTGTAACTGCTGCTTCAAAGTCTTTTTGTGGTTAACACAGTATCTGAGCTCACTCAGAGACAATTTTTATTGACTCTTCTTTATTCTAAGTAAACACCTGTTTCTTATCATGTCTAGTATTTGAACATGACCAGACATGAAACTGGGCTGTTAGGGTACAAACGTTAGGGTACCTTTGAGGCTTGCAGCCCACTCAGCCTGAAACCCACCATGGCTAACATGACCCAAGCCACCACTTACTGGAACAAAGGGAGGTGGGACGGTTTCTGGGAACAGGGACTGTTTCTGGTTAATCTTGCTAAAACGGTATGTGAGTCAATGAGTTGAGACACCTGGTGTTTACCAAATTCCTGATAAAATAATCTTCAAGTAATCTGGCCCCACCACCAGGATGTGGGCGATATCAGAAAAATGTGACCCCAGGGACCATAAAAATTGCTGTGTAACGTGACTAATGTCTAAAAAAACATAAAAGCAGCCTGAATTTTGTATTCGGGGTCCATGTTGAAACCCACTGCGTCGGGCGGATACCCGGACCCCAGCTGGCTGGAAATAAACCTCGCTTTGTGGCTTACATTATCGTGAGTGTCTTTTTATTCCTCTGAGGGGTGGTCAACTCTGGACCCCAACATCTGGAGGTTCCACCGAGATCTGAGCCCCTCCCTGAGAGGAACAAACAGCCTCCGATACCGAGGTTTAATTGGGAAAGACCGCGGAAGGAGGATTGGCCACCTCCGTTTGGAGGGACTTAAGAGTCCCCCGTCTGAATTTGGTTGAGAATTCTCATTGAGTGGAAGGAAGGGGTTACAGCCCTGGAGGCTTCACTATTGGAAGTCGTGGGAGACATCCCTGATGGTCAGGAGCCGCGCCGGCGTCCTCAGTGGACGCCGTTTGGGCGGTCTTTGGGTAAGGATCCAGAGTCTGGTGTGAATGGAATTGCGCCTGTGAGAGTGGTCTGGTTGACCAGCCGGTATTTGTGTACGTTAGAGAGTCCTGTGTGAATTTGTTTGTCTGCTGGAATTGTTCTTTTGTTCTTTGCTGTCTCCTCTGTCCATCTCTCCTGATCATCATGGGACAGGCTCAGGTAACTCCTAAGACCCTTCTTCTAAGTCATTTTTCAGAACTCCGCGCTAAGGGACACAATTATGGCTTGAAAATTAAGAAAGGTAAGTTTGACACCCTTTGCTCAGCGGAATGGCCAACCTTTAATGTAGGCTGGCCTCCTCAAGGTACCTTCTCCTTGGACACGATTAAGAAGGTCCGAGATGTCATTAATAGACCCGGTCTTCATGGCCACCCTGATCAATATCCCTACATCCTTATGTGGCAGACTTTAGTAGAAGACCTCCCTTCCTGGCTGCAGCCATTTATCCATGGAGCAAATACAGACCGGCCCGCAATACTGGCCGTGTCGGGGAACACCCCCACTCCCGTTAATTCCCCTAAGAAGCCTATTCTGCAGGAAGACCCAGCTCTCCATCCATCCTTGATAGACTTAGATTGTGAAGTAAATCCCCCACCATATGCTGCTGCTGCTGCGCCACTCCAGACAGAGGCAGCTGGCTCCTCTGAGCCTCCCCACTCACCAGCCTCCCTGTCTGCACCCCCTGCCCCAGTCTCTGGACTGGCGAGGGGACTCAGGCCCCGTAGGCAGCGAAAAGAAACCCCAAAGGAGGAGCCCTCCCCCACTTCCACCGGGCTCCCCATCCTCCCGGTGCGGGCCCTGGGTGGTGCTGGTCCCGATGGGGGACGCACCTATCAGTATTGGCCTTTTTCAAGTAGTGACCTGTACAACTGGAAAGCCCAGAATCCTCCTTTTTCTGAGGACCCTAGAGGCCTGACTGATCTGTTTGAGTCCATTTTGCATACTCACAGTCCCACATGCGATGACTGTCAGCAGCTCCTTCGGACCCTATTCACCACCGAGGAACGGGAGTGGATTCTCACTGAAGCCAGAAAGAATGTCCCCGGCAACAATGGGTGACCGACCACCCTGCCAAACCTGATTGATGATCGTTTTCCTTTAAACAGACCTGACTGGGACTATGGGACTGCAGAAGGTAGGGAGCATCTCTGGGTTTACCACCAGACTCTTATGGCAGGCCTCCGGGCGGCAGCCCGCCACCCTACCAATTTGGCTAAGGTAAAGGCAATAACGCAGGGGGAAAATGAAAGCCTGGCCGCG